AGTATGGTTGGAATGAGACGTCGTTCACAACAACTTCCGGCCAAGAAACCTATGAAGGAGAGTAAAATGCAGATATGAAATTGTGCAATTAATATGATTATAAAAAAGATATTACAATGATTCATTAGCTTTCTTCTTTTTTGATTTGGTTCCCAAAATGTAGAGTCCAGCTAAGTATATGTTCATCACATGAAATTGCATTACAATTTATAGTAGCTTTTGGTAGTTGGATAGGTAGTGAAAGCTACTAATAAATTTTTATATAAAAATGGTATTAGAGGTCAGTGCCGTGTGAATTAATGCATGCATTTAAAATGGCTAAGTGACACTAATGGAAATTACCTAAATTTTAAGAAAGGGTAAATTTGATCAATGGAAATTAATTAAGCTTTAATATCAAATCAAGTTTGTCGTTGATGATTACTCCTATTTATGATGAAATGTAAATAAATAAATGATTTAATTGCTTTTAGTTTAAGTTTTTAGATAGGACGACTAATCATGCTACAACTATTTGTTTACGAAAAATTTTATGTCAAGCTTTTAATGAAATAATAAACTTGATGTGTGCATGAATGTGTGTTAAATATAGATACGATTAAGCAAATTCTTATTATCATTTTAAGCTTACGATTGAGGTATTTCAACATAAAAATTTCATTTACGGTAATTTTACTATTATATTATTGTCAATTAGGTAACTGCACTTTGCTTTTAATCAAGGGAAAATTGCAGCCACTACATCAAATATTTCACATTTATGCAGGCTTTGCTCAAACACTTCATTTGTGTCGCCAGAGGTACCAAACCTTTAAAAATGTCGTAGTTGGAGTCCGATGGATGGAATCCATCCATTTGACCATTAGTTGATCATTAAAAAAAATTGACCTCTTTTGACTAATGTAGAAAGGGTAAAATTGTACTTTTATATTATTCTACATAAAACAATATTATAGTAATTAAATAAAAATATTAAAAAAGAAAAACCCCACCCCACTCCAACCCAACCCAACCCAACCCAACCCAAAAATCGATTCAGAGACCACCACACCACGGTCGACTTCTGCCATTGCTCATTTCCCTACCTCCGCCACCGTTCTTTAAGCACCAATCTCCACCCCATCTCCTCCCTCAAGAGCCACGCTACTACACTCTCCACTATCCACAAATTCAATCTCTTGTGTATTTTCTCTTCAGAAAAAGCCAAGAACAATCGATACGCCGAAAAAAATTGGTACCGAAATGGATTGGGTTCATGGTGAAAAATTGGGTGATGGAAGCTTTGGAACGGTGAATTTAGCCATATCCAGAAGTGAAAGCTCTCAAACGCAATTGATGGCCGTGAAATCTTGTGGGGTGTCTCTTTCTGCTTATGAACGAGAAATTGATACTTGATGAGCTTAAAGATTGCCCAAAAATAATTCGTTGCTTTGGGAAAATTTTATTGATGAAAACGGTGAGAAATTGTATAATGTATTGTTGGAGTATACTTTCGGTGGCTCTTTGGCCGATAAAGTGAAGAATTGTCGGCTCCCCCACCACCACTTTTTTGGGTTTTGACTTTTGATTTCCTCAAAAACTGATACTACACCAACTGATATTGCATGCTGAAGGTGCAAATGGATGACTAGGCGGTGTTGATGTGGGAGATGGTGTGGTGCCGACGTTGGATAGATCTCTGGGGTGGGGCAGAGGAAGAAGAACAACGTTCTTCTTTTTTCTTTTTAATATTTTTGTTTAATTACTATAATATTATTTTATGTAGAATAATATAAAATTACCATTTTCCCCTTCTACATTAGTTAAAAGAGGTCAAAAAAATTTTAATGGTCAACTAACTTTAAATGGATGGATTACATCCATCTGGACTCCAACTGCTACATTTTAAAAGGATTGGTACCTCTTGTGGCATAAATGAAAGGTTTGGACATAATCTGCAAAAATGTGAAAGGTTTGGTACCGTAGCTGCAATTTTCCCTTTGATCAAATAACTATACTTTCGTTTTATTACAATTAAGGTAATCTCTTCCAATTACGTAACTTAGAATGATAAATATAGCTGACGTGGACGTAAATCACTACG